CTTCATTACTGAAGCAACATCAAAGAATTCATTCTGGAGAGAAACCCTACAAGTGTGAAGAATGTGGCAAATCTTTTTACAATTCTTCACTGCTGAAGCAACATCAAAGAATTCATTCTGTAGAGAAACCATGCAAGTGTGAAGAGTGTGGCAGTTTTTTTTCTTCATTTTCATACCTTAGACAACATCAAAGAATTCACTCCAAAGACAATCCCTACAAATGTGAGGTGTGTGGCAAAATGTTTTCCCATTCTGCAATCCTTCAGAAACATAGTAAAATTCATGGAGAGAGACCATACAAGTGTGAAGAATGTCACAAAACCTTTCTTTATCACTCATCACTTAAGAACCACAAGATAGTTCATAGTGGACAGAAGCCATACAAGTGTGAAGAATGTGGCAAATGTTTTTCCGCTGCTTCATGCCTTAGACGACATCAAATAATTCACTGTGAAGACAACCCTTACAAGTGTGAAGAGTGTGGCAGATGTTTTTCCTCAGATTCATGCCTTAAGGGACATCAAATAATCCATTCTGAAGAGAATCCATATACCTGTATACAATGTGGCAAACGATATTCCCGTTCTAGGGATCTTAAGGAACATCAAACACTTCATACTGGAGAGAAATTGTACAAGTGTGAAGAATGTGGCAAAGACTTTCATTATCACTCAGCCCTTAGGAGACACAAGACAATTCATATAGGAGAAAAACCCTACAAGTGTGAAGAATGTCACAAAGCCTTTCGTTGTTTATCATATCTTAAGAAACACAGGAGTATTCATACTCAAGAGAAACCCTACAAGTGTGAAGAATGTCTGAAAGCCTTTCATTTTTTCTCATCCCTTATTAAACACAAGAGAGTTCATAGTAAAGAGAAATCCTACAAGTGTGAAGAATGTCACAAAGCCTTTCCTTATCTCTCATCCCTTAGTAAACACAAGACAGTTCATACTGGAGAGAAACCATACAAGTGTGACAAATGTCAGAAAGCCTTTCTTTTTCCCCTATCCCTTAGGAAACACAAGACAGTTCATACTGAAGAGAATCCCTAAAACTGTGAGGAGTGTGACAGATGGTTCTCTTCACCTTCATCCAGAGTCAATATAAAAAAGAAAAGGAAATTCATTCTGAAGACAATCCCTAAAATTGTAGAGAATGTGACAAAAACTTTGTTCATCTTTATGTCCTTACTCAACACATGGTATGGTTCATAGGGGAGAGAAATCCTACAAATGTCTTAAAATGTTTATTTTTTCAACCCTTAAAATGCATCACATGATTCATTCTGACTACAAACTCCATGAATGTGTAAAGTGTGCTAAAATAATTGCTAACAATTCAGATCTTACCCACCTCTAATGAATCCATAGTGAAGAGTATTAGGCTAATTATTTTGAATGTCAACAGGAATCTCTAACTTCAAATAGTAAAAATGCTGAGAATGTCATCAGAGAAGAGTAGAGACTTCTCTTTGCTGTAACATCCAACAGTTTGTTCAAGCAATGTGTTTGAAACTTGCCTTGATTAATGAGTCTCTTTCTTCTGTAACTATAAATGTTCCCTGAATCCTTTACCATGTCCTGAAATTGTCCATGGGGTACCTGAAGTCTGATATCTGGGCTGTGTCATAGTTACTGTTGTTTTTTCCCAGTGGAGTCATCCAAGCTCCTGTACTATCTCCCTTTGATGTGTAAGAATCTCTGTCTCTCTGAGCTAGCAGGTTTTCACCCAGTATCTGACTCCTTATTGGTAAAATAAAAGACAATGACTTAGTTAAAACTACAGGAGAGGCTCTCCCAGTCTAAGGCCTCAGCATCAAGGCAGCAGCTGCAGCTGAAGAGGTGAAGTCATCAGCTGTGGCATTGATAGTATGAGGTGCAGCTGCTGTGCCCCAGATAAAAAACAACAGTGCCCATACAGCAATAATGACAGACAAGTTATGAGAGGAACCAATCTCTTTCTGATTGGATTTAATGTTTATTCCACAAATTGTAACTGATGTGATATTAATTTGGTAGTATACTTTTGC